ATGTAGCAGGAAAGGGCACTATTTTGAGGTGTTACAGATGCATCTCTCAGAGCCAAATGGCACATGAGGAAGTGACAAAATGTCTTCCTCTAGATAGAACTGTTCTCTTCAAAAATGTACAATTGCATAGGCCACTGATTGTGATTCTCACCTGAGTACTGAATTTAGAATTAGAAAATGTTTCTCCCAAATAGTGATTGTATGTTGACTATGAGGAGTGGTCAGTGTTCTTATAGAGGTTGGGGGGAGAATTAATTTGGGAATACTAGCCTAATTACAGCCTGAGGCCATAGAGTAGTGTTGATCATTCATCATATAGGTTATTACCCTAATGAGAAAATATATTTTTAAAGTGTAAGAATCAACCTACAGCAACTCTAGAACATAATCCCTTGACAAATTGAAAACTGCCTGTTTAATTTTGTTATATTCATAAATGGTATAAACATTGATAAGTATTAAAAACAAGTCATAATTTATCACTCTAAAGTATATGGGTTTTTTTTCCTCTGATGTTTTAAGAAATTATATTTCTCTGTCTTGAAGTATAGACCCAGGAGCCTTGAGTCAATATATTTATCTTAATCATCCATCCATTGAATTAACAATAAGTTCCTACAATATAACATCAACTTTAAAGGGAATGAAAAATGCAAAGAGAAATGAAGTGGATTGGCCATTGAGGTTATTTTTTGGAGTGGGAATGCCTACTTGGGTCCCTTTATTTTTACTTTTTTTTTTTTTTAGCACAAAATTCACTCTTTTTGGTGTACAATTCTATGATGCATAAAGTTGTATAACCACCACAACAACCAAAATAAATAAACAAAAATTAAGTTCTACACCACCCCAAAACTCCGTAATGTTACCAGTCAATAATTTAGTTTTATACATATTGATTGAGTTGGAGGTATCTGAAAGACACTGGTGAAAATGTTCAATAAGAAGATGAAAAATGTGCCTTAGGCTTTGGAGAAATCCGTGCTGGAAATAGAAGTTTAGGAATTTTTGCTGGTATACTAGGCAAAAGTTATGGGAGAGAGACTGCCTGAAACACAAACAAGGGAATTTGAGGATGACCTTTAGAAACATCAATATTTACGTGGCAAGTGGAAAAAGAGGAAAGCGATATTATAAAGGGAAGACAAGACCACAGAGGCTAAAAAGAAAACTTTCTGAAAGGGAGGGTGGTCAATTGATGGTGGCAAAGCACATAACAATACCAAGTTAGCATAAGAACTGGAAAATATTTTGGCACCTAGGAAGTAATCACTAAATTTAATGAGAGCAATTTCACTGGATGGGGCGTAGAGTTAATGGGAAACTTGACAAAGGATAAAATTTAGAATAGTGGTTAATGAAACATATCAATTCAAGGGAGGAAAGGCATGAATATGGTTACAAGTTGAGAAAAGACAACTTGTAATGATAAAGGCAGAAGTTACCATTAAGAACATACAAGATAAAATGTATTGCATAAAAAATAAGATTCATCTCTCTGAGTTGGAGATACTTAGTAGTAAAAGCAAACACAGAGCTCCTTGACATTTACCCAAGTGAGTTGAAAACTTACATTCATAGAAAAATCTGCACACGAATATTTATAGCAGCTTTATTCATAATTGCCAAAACTTGGAAGCAACCAACATGTCCTTCAGGAGGTGAATAGATAAACAAATTGTGGTACATCCATACAATGGAATATTATTCAGTGATAAAAAGAAATAATCTATCATGCCACATTAAGACATGGAGGAAACTTAAATGCATATTATTATGTGAATAAATTCAATCTGAAAAGGCTACATGCTGTGTATTCCAACAATAAAACATTCTAGCAAAGGCAAAACTATGGAAGCATTAAAAGGATCAGTGGTTGCCAGGGGTTCAGGGGAGGGTGGGAGAAATGAATAGGTAGGGCACAGGAGATTTTGAGGAGAGCGCAACTATTCTGTATGATATTGTAATAATGGATACCTGTTGCATCATTATATATTTGTCAAAACCCATGGAATGTACAACACAGAGAGTGAGCCCTGAGATAAACTATGAAGTACAGTTAATAATAGCGTATCAATATTAGCTCATCAATTTTACCACGTGTACCAAACTAATCCAATATGTTAATTATAGGAAATCTGTGTGTGAGAGGGGTTAGATAGGAACTCTCTGTAGTTTCTACTCTTCAGTAAATCTAAAATTGTCCCTTAAAAAAACAAACACAGAGATGTAGGATAGAGAAGGATGTTAAAAATAGTTCCCCCATGCTGGATTTTGATTTTGATTAATTAGCAGGAGTAGGTATGAATGGGTATCACTGAGCAAATGTTCTATCACATTCTAGATATTATAACCCAGAATGATGGGGTATCTCCTAATTGAGTTTCCCTAAACTTTCAGTGTCCAAGTGGCAAGTGACCAAGTGACTATTGACGTAAGGAAAATAGTCATTGACTTTCAAAATATAGATGCCTATCACTGGCATCTCTATCACTGATAAATGTCTTGAAATTTTATTCATACCTCAATCTACTATTTTATTATAAATCATGAGATTGGTATTGAACCACATTACATGTAATTTTAGTAAATATGCCCATTTAAAAAAAATCAGAAAGAATGCACTCTTGAAGAAAAAAATAAAAATGTATTCACTCAACAGCCTGTTTCTACCAGAGTTGTAAAACACCTTAAAAACAATCTTCAAATTTATGCACAATTATAGGGATTAGAAAAATGCACATTTAAAGACACCCTGAATTGTCAGGATCCTATTATTTATGGTTTAATTAACTGTATGAAAAGAATCCTGATTTCCAATCTCTGATAAGTTTCACTGATACTTCAATAGGCCTGATAAAACCAATGGTTCTCAAAGTATGGTAGACACCTGGAAGTCCCCAAGTCCATTCAAGGAGATCTATGAGGTCAAAACAGTAACACTAAGATAAGCATGCTGTTTTTATCATGTTGACCTTTTCACTGATGTGTACAAAAGGAACTACGGGTAAAGCAGTTATGGCTCCCTAACATGAATGATGGCAGTAGAAGCAAACCACAAATAACCACTGTAGGATTGATTCATTGCTATACACTCAGTAAGAAGCTACGTTTACTTAAGAATGTCCTTGATGAAGTAGTAAAAACTATGAATTTTATTAAGTCTCAAATATACATCTTTTGAGTATTCAATGGGGTGAAATGGGAAGTAGGCATAGGGCACCTATGCTGCATTCCACACAGCATATAATTGAAAAACTGAACTGGGAGCTGAGAAACCCTCATTTATCATGAAACACCATGTTTACTTGAGAAAGCAACTGACAGAGGTGCCTGGCTGGCTCAGTCAGTAGAGCATGCAATTCTTGATCTGAGGGTTGTGAGTTCAAGCCCCACGTTGCGCCGAGAGTTTACATAAAAAAAAAAAAAAAAAAAAAAAAAAAAAAAAGAAGAAACAGAAAGAAAGGAACAAAGGAAGGAAGAAAAGAAGAAAATGAATGAACTGACAAACAATATTCAGGCAGTTGTTAAGTATTTTCTCAAAAATGAGCAAAGGAAATCTGTAATTTCAAGAACTAACAGTATTTACTACCAAAGGTTTAAGAAACAGATTTTTATAGAAGTTAGAATTTTAGAAAACTTGTATCTGCTATTACTGTGAACTTGACAGCTTCCCCATACCTAAAAAAATTTCTGATGAGATTGGTGGTAATATTAACAAACGTGATTTCAAAAATATTGTATAGGGGCGCCTGGGTGGCGCAGTCGGTTAAGCGTCCGACTTCAGCCAGGTCACGATCTCGCGGTCCGTGGGTTCGAGCCCCGCGTCGGGCTCTGGGCTGATGGCTCAGAGCCTGGAGCCTGTTTCCGATTCTGTGTCTCCCTCTCTCTCTGCCCCTCCCCCGTTCATGCTGTGTCTCTCTCTGTCCCAAAAATAAATAAACGTTGAAAAAAAAAATTAAAAAAAAAAAATATTGTATAATGAAATGTGTCAACATTTGGAAGATCTACGTAACGCAGTGAATCAGTATTTTCCAAATGACTAATGCATGATGTTACAAAATCACATATGGGTAAAAGATCCATTCAAACTGCAAGACAGACTAATGGACTGCAATGTAAGTGAGTACTAAAAGTTCATTTATATGGTTTCAGATTCCATATTGCAACTAACCTTTAAGAAACAATCACTCGTTTAATTGTGTAGTGACAAATAAGAATATCCACATTATTTTTAAAATACTTTTAAAATCTTTCTCCCTTTTCCAGCTACCTATATGTGTGAAGCAAAACTGTTTTCATCTACTTCAATCAAAACATCAAAATGCACTGAATGCACAAGCAGGTATAGGAACCCAGCTGCCTTCTATTAAGCTAGATATTAAATACATTTATTAAAATGTAAAACAATGCCATTCTTATTTTTTTGAAAATAGTTATTTTTAATAAAAAGGTTATTTATGTTGGGGTGCCTGGGTGGCTCAGTTCATTAAGGGTCTGACTTCAGCTCATGTCATGTTCTTGTGTTCATGGGTTCAAGCCCTGCATTGGGCTCTGTACTGACAGCTCAGAGCCTGGAGCCTGCTTCTGATTCTGTGTCTCCTTCCCTCTCGGCCCCTCCCTGCTTTCACTTTGTCTCTCTCTCTCAAAAATAAAATAAAATAAAATGTTACTTATGTTAACATGTAACAAACTTATTGTTAAAGCCTATTAATTACTAAATATATTTTAAATATCTCTTTTGTATTTCTACAATGGTAAATGTTGATAACTATAACCCACAGAAACAAAAGCTGTTCAGGATCCTTAATAAGTTTTAAGAGTGTATTGGGTTCCTGAAACTACTAGAATAAACTGTTATCAGTGACAAAGTTACCTAAAAATAAAACCATAGTTCCTAGTCAATGACTTAGAACATGATAGTAAGAGGCTAATTTGTTACTTGATATAATACTACAATTAGAGCAAGTCATAAAACAATTTCTTGATATTTAACTTACAAAGAGAATTCTGTTTTACTAATTTCAGTTGTGATGTAGTCAATTTTTCTCCTCGCTGGCTTTTATTCTCTTCATCACCCTCCTCATCTTGAACTACAAAGTCATCAATAATATAATCATCTCCATCTTCATCATATTCATAATCATCTTCTTCCTCCTCCTCATCACTTTCATCACTGCTTGGGCAGGATTCCTTTTCAGAGTCCTAATTAAATTAGAACATACCTTTCAGTAAATTTGTACTTTTAAATTGTCAGTATGGATATAAAATTAAAAGATTAAATCTTAAACCAATGACCCATGGAAATTAATTTCATATTTTAAGGTTAAAAAAATCTTGTCATGTTAAATGTCGAACTTTCGAATTAGTAAGAAGGTAATATACCTCGGTAAATGATGTAAAATGTTTAAAATGGACATTAAGATTATAAGTAGAAGTTGAAAAGAGGAAAGACCATATTAAACAGTCTTTCAATTTTAAAACAGAATGATGAACTGAGGCTCACGATAAAACAAATTATATTAGACACAACAGTGCAATCAAACATGTTCAAGGATACTTGATTAAAAAAAATAAATTCAAGAATTGAGAAATAGGACAGACTCAGTACTTTTTTTATAAAAATTAAATACTTTGAAAAAAAGATTTAAAAACAGTAACAAAACCAATAGAATATAACACACCTCAAAATCTCTACTACTATTGCGTCTCTGACGAGATCTTTGTTTTGAGAGTTCTTTGAGTTTCTGGAATTGTTCTCGCTTTCTTGCAGCTAAAGTTTTTTCAGGTGTTTTTGGCTCCATCTCTACTGAAGAACATTCATCTTCAACCACTCTACGTGGACGTTTAACACCTACTTTTCGAACTAGGATATCACTGCTGTCACTCTCATCACTGTCGTACATAACAGAGGAGATCCTTTTTCTCTTCCCTCGCTTGATGTGTTCTTCTTCTAAATCCTCCTCTATTATCTGTCCAGTGTGTTTGTTGAGATCGTCATCCTCTTGACTGGAATGCTTTTCATGATCTGGTGAGTCAGTACTTCTAGGTTTGTTTTTGTTATTTTCTTCTTCATATGTTGAACTGTTGCCAGTGTTCATGAGATGCTCACAGTTACTACTACCTTCACTTTCAACTTCAATTAATCTAAGTTTTCTTTCATTTTCAGGCTTTTTATTACTATCGAACCCCTTGTTACTATCAAGTTCTTCATCGCTGTCAAGCTCTTCATCACTGTCAAGGTCTTCATCACTATTAAGGTCTTCATCACTATCAAATAACTGTGAAATACTACTTCTTTTAGTCCGCCTCCAATCAACTCGAGATTTCTGCTCATGCTCTTGAGTTTTAGAATTTTTCCTTGTTTCGTGTCTTCTAACATGTACCATTTTCACTTAAGCTTCTACAAAATAAAGTTATTAGGAATATAATAATGATAACCAGATCACAACAATGAATGCATTTATGGTAAACTATATTTATTTGGTGTTATAAAATGGTTCACAACAGTATAAATCACATAAAATATCTGAGTGAAGATGGTAGAACAGTTATTCAACAAATAATTTATTGAACAGCTATGAAAAAACTGTAATGAACATCAATTGTGAATTATATCTTGCGTTGAAAGGGATGCACAGAAAAACCGTGGTCCTGTTCTCCAGAAGATTATCATCCATGGGTAGAACATACAAAGATATAATAAGAAAAATGCAAGGTATTCATTTGGTCCAAATGACAGATAAAAATAACTGCAATAAAATTATAAAGATGCAGGAAGAACAGTATAGCAAATGCTTCACTGAAGATTTAATTGCACAGATATGATCTGATAGACTTCTGAAGGACTGGTTATATTTCAACAAAAAGAATGACAGAAAAAGGGATTTCAGGCAGGTAAAAATGGTAAGGTCAAACTCTGGCACTGAGAGAGAACATGGTATGTTAAGTAAGTGCAACTGAAAGGGTGTGAAGAAAGGCTTTATGCTGGAAAAAAGAGAGACAATTATAGAAAAACAGGGTGGGGTTACCAGAGTCATTCATCCTTAGGCAAAGGATTCTAAACAGAAATGACATGAATTATAACATAAAGGGTCAAAAATTTATAGGAAGAAAGTTATAAAGTACTAGCTGACAAAAGATAGCAGTGCAAAACTAAGAGATCACCTATCTACTAAGACAGCAGCTTCTATATACTTTAGTAAAATGGCAATGGCTTTAAACCACTCAAAGTTAAAGACAGAATATAATCCAATAAAAAACATTAACGATCCAAAATTGGGTGAAAAAATAAAGTTTCATGGTGAAGCAGGGCATGATATTGGGAAGAAAATAAATACTGTAAGTTTCTGATTCAGAAAAGGGTGAACCCCACTAAAATTGCCACAAGTATATAATAAAGGAACAATTAGAGATAAGTAACGTAACTAGAAAAACAGTTAACACATATGAACTTTTGTAGTTGCTAAGGAAAATAGACATATGATCACAATGTAATGAAACTGACCTCATAATACATGTATAAGAACTTCAGTACTCTATTGAGTGCTATCTCCTTCAAAGAAATCACCTTCTGTGGCTAATTATTCCACTATCTACACTATGGCATAAAATATTCTTGGAGATTTCTATAAAACTTAGCATCAGAAAATATATAAAAATATGAAAAGAACCACGCTCCATTTTTTATCCCAAAGAGTGGTTTAAATACCCATTTTGTTCATTTGTCTCAGTTATAAGGGACTATTAGCAGCTTCCAAAAATGAAATCCAACTTCAAAACTTGAACATTAATTACCATTACAGATATATTTTTTAAATATGCTGTAACTTTGAAGGTAAATCCAAAAACAGAATGCCAAAATATCTTGAGCAACGGCAGTATCACTGAATCAAGTTTATACCTTTCCTTTTTTGGACAGGCAGGGGTATAAGTGGGAGAAATACCACTCATTTGACTGTACAAATTGTTATGTTTAAAAGCAACGTGACAGTTTCTAAAATGGTCATATCTCATATAAAGTCAGCATAGTGGTTTCTAAGATCATACAGCAGAAATTTATAGTGTAGGCTGAAATGTGACTTTTTTTTAATGTTTATTTTTGAGAGAGACAGAGACAGAATGCGAGTGGGTTAGGGGCAGAGAGAGAGGGAGACACAGAATCCGAAGCAGGCTCCAGGCTCCAAGATGTCAGCACAGAGCCCAACGTGGGGCTTGAACTCAGGAGCTGTGAGATCATGACCTGAGCCGAAGTTGGATGCTCAACCGACTGAGCCACCCAGGCGCCCCGGAAATGTGATCTTATGACAGTAACCACTACAAGATAGATCGAGCATTGTAACAGCAATCTAACAAATTTTAGTCAACAGACAAAATATTCTGTTAGTTGAAATTACACTTGGATTGCAAATTACAGAAGGCTTATATTAAAAATCAGCCAAGATGAGAATTGTGTGTAGTTAAAATTATCTTAAAAATCTCTATATTCCTCTTGAAACTATATATCATACTGCTTCACAGCAGGTCCATCCAGTTTCTTCTCCTGGTTATAAACAGATTACTATTATTGGTGTTTTGTGTGTGTGTGTGTGTGTGTGTGTGTGTGTGTGTGTGTGTGTGTGTTTAAGCACCAAACTGGGCAGCTTATACTGTGAAGCCATATAGTACAAATAAGTTTTTTTTTTTTTAAGCACATAGAGCTAAATTTGCATAAACCATGCATGTGCATTACACTGTAATGTCTTTCTAATAAATCTGAACTGGGAGAAGGAATGAGAAAACATTTATGAAAACAAATGACAAATATGGCTTCAGTAGATACACTAAAGCAACTGTGAACAGTAGGAACATTAAATGAAAGATGATTCTTTAATATGCAAAAGCAGTTTCATGTACATTAGATGGTTATCTCACAAAACTATACCATGTCAAAAGACATTTATCATGTCAATAGGTGGCTTCTACAACAGCAGTAGAAATGATTAACAATGTGACACTGTAAAAGTATCTGATTGCATATGGTTAAGCTATTAAAAACTCTTATATGTATAGTAATTTTTCAGCGCATTTTCATGTTTTTAAATCCTGACAATGATCCTAGAAGGAAGATATTATCTACGTTTAGTTATAAATATCAAAGCCAAATACGCAGAGTTCAAATGACTTACCGAAGATCATACAGCTTGTTAGTGACAGAGCAGGGATTAGAAACCAGTTCTCCTGATTTCCTGTCCAGTGCTACACAATGACTGCTGCCAATATTATATTTGTACAAGGTGGTAAAAACCATGCCTTTAAAAAGTCATTATTTTATCTCTCATTCATGCTAAATTTTAGTTTCATAAAAGAATCACCAAAATAGTTTAGAGTTTACAAACATGCTTTTTAAAAAAACTATTTTTTTAAACAGTTTTTTTTTAAATGGTAACAGAATTTTAGTGCACGTGAGTTAGGCCAGTAACTTCTGGAAATTGTCCATCCAATAGGCAAGAAAAGAATGTGTAAAAGAAATGAAAATTTGTGACTTCCCTCTACCATCTTATTGATGACATTGATCACAAAATTTAAGGATTCCCCATTGAGTCCAAAAGTAAAAATTTCAAAAAGTCAGTTTCTAAGGAGAAAAAAAAATTATTTTGGAAAACTGCAGTATTGAATATTTGAAGAAACAAATTTTATTTAAATAAATCAAGTCTCATGTGGCCAACTGCCAAACTTCCAGGGTCTCTCCTCATATTTCAAAATTGCTGTCACTGAAAAAGAAGATAATTTAAATGTGCTTGGCTTCTCTTTTAAAATTATGAATACTTTTACAATGTTGGCTGGGGAGGGAAGAATGATGACAGAGGGAAAGGGTGAATGAACTGAACCTGAGGAGAGAAACGAGAAGGTGAAGCTAGATTGATGAAAATGACATCTCTTGGGTCATCAGAATTCACTCAAAAAAAAAAAAAAAAAAAAAAAAAAGAATCCATGCAATGGACGTAATTTCTTTATATGCTGAGTATACACTCAATTTCTTGAAATGAGAATTTAATCAAGCTTCTTTAATAATACCTTACCTTTAGGCAAAGAGAAAAACAAAGAAACTCCAAACAGAAAGCATTAAATAAATGAAGAAGATCAATACGATCACATCTTTGTGCTTCTGTGTGAATCATCACACAAAAGGCATATACAAAAACCAAAAAAAAAGCATATACATAGCTTATGCAGTCTGCCAAAGAATACAGATTAAAGGTAAAAATCCATATTGTTGTCTCTCACACAGTCATTCTACAACTCAAAGGTACTTGATGATGCTACTTGAATTTCTCATCAAAGGAAATATCGTGTAGCCTAGGCTTTAAGGTTAATTTATCCTGAAGAAAAGATTCATTCTAGGAATCACTTGCCCTGTCAGGTGACAGTTTACATTTTTAAGGTTTGAAGAGCAATGGTACCCCAGGCATTACTTGAAATTTCACCAGAAGGGATGCATTCCTATTTGTAAAACAACACCCCTCTCTGACATTTCCTTTTATATGATAGTTTGGAGAGAAAACCTTAAAGAGGCCAAAGAAATGGTTATTGAATGCCAGCACAGGCTTGGAGCGTGGCGCTACTAGAAGAAATCAACACGGCCTCTGCTTCCACGGACTCACAACCTGATGAAATTACTGGGAATACCAGTATAAGCCGGCATAATACATGACTTAAGGGCTACAGTGTTATAATTCTGAGTACGTTCTTTTCACATTGCTGTGGATACATTTATCACAGTTCTTCCACTGGTAGAAAACAGGGCAGAACAACATGACAGAAATAAGAAATGGAAAGATAACAGAGAGAGAAAGATAATTCCCCCCTTTAGAATCACGAGCCAATGCTCCACAATTTCGCAGAGTGAATCCTGCCAGTTTCGCATCCGGGACAACTACAGTATTCATTAAAATCTTTAACAGTGAAGGTGGTTCTCTAACTCCAGCAGGGATGGGTGGCAGAGGAAGGATCCTCTCTGCAGTTTACACCAGAGTCATTTTCCGGATTACAAACCTGGCTCTTTGACGGGACGCAGGTAGCCAGCGCAGCACGCCCACCAGTCCGCTACTCTGCCTCGGGCAGAGGGGCACGGTAGCTGGGAAACCGTACCCTTAGACCGAGCTTCACGATGACGTGCGCGGGACGACACAAACCCCCAGGCCCTAGGGGAGCTCCGCAACCCAGAAAACCAACAAGGGTCTGGAAAGGCCAGAAACCCGCGAAACCACCACTCCAGCTCCTCACTACCAGTCCCGCCCACTTCCCCACCGCGGAAGAAACAAACACCGGGCCCACTGCAGCTCAGCCCAGGGGGGCAGGAAGTGCAGAAAGACGCAGAAGAGGCTAGTCCTACCCACCCGGACAGCGCCCGCGGGAATTTTTTTCCCCCGCCTGCCGGGAGGCGCGGCTTCCCCGGCTCAGTTAATAAGCCATCAGCAGCCTGAGCGAGAGCGAGTCCCCGCCCCGAGCTGCCCCTGCACCGCCCCCGCGCCCTCACCTTTCAAAGCTCCTCCGCCTCTGCCTCCGCCTTTGCCTCCGCCCCAGGTACCCTCTCCAGACTAGCCACGCTCCTCCTCCTTCCGGAGACCAGGGGAAGTCCCGCCTCTGGGAGGAGCAGGGGGCGGAGCCGGCGGCGGGAGGGGGCATCTTCCGGGAGCGCGTGCTGGGGGAGGAGCGGTCGCCGCGCGTTAGTCAGGGATCGGTGCGGGTCCTGGTTCCAATTGAGGTGGGGAGAGGGGCCCGGCGGGCTGTGAGGGGCCGGGAGGACTGTCCAAGCTAAGCCCAGCGCGGGGAAGTGTGGCTTGCGGTGGAAGGGGTTGGCTGCTGGGGAAGCAATCAAACGTAGCCGTTCCCTTGGGGAAAGGGGCTAGTCCCCGACTCCGTGGCTCTTCCGCTCTCTGCTGTAACTTTGGGGTGTGGCAGGGGCTAGTGACGGACGTGTTTACCCTGGATCAGGGCTTGAAGGAGGTTTGTGGTCACGATGGAGTTATAGTCTTTATCGCGGCCACTGCGGGAATAAAACAAATGTTTGTAATCCGGATTATCCGCGGTGACTTGGGGCCTCCTCTACTGCCCATCTAAGTTAAAGGCCTGTTCCCTCAAACTTCCTTCCCTCTCACCTTCCTCTGCCGTCTCATTGCCGGCCAAGCCCGTCCAGGGACGGGGTCAGGGTCACCAGGTTCCTGGTAAGGTTGAAAGACTGAGGCTGTAAGACTGCTCAAGTGGGTCTGTGTGAAAGAAGGAAGGATTTTGTAGATTGTTTCAGTGTGAGTGTGGGGCAAGGGCCTGAGTCCCACAGCCTCAGCATGTCTGGGAAACGGAAGCGGGTGGTGTTAACTATTAAAGATAAGCTTGATATAATAAAAAAACTTGAGGACGGAGGTTCTTCCAAACAACTGGCAGTGATTTATGGGATTGGTGAGACAACAGTTCGGGATATAAGAAAAAATAAGGAAAAGATTATAACTTATGCAAGCAGTTCTGATTCCACAAGTCTTCTTGCCAAGAGGAAATCTATGAAGCCATCTATGTATGAGGAACTGGATAGAGCAATGCTAGAATGGTTCAACCAGCAAAGAGCAAAAGGGAATCCCATATCTGGACCAATTTGTGCAAAAAGGGCAGAGTTCTTTTTTTATGCTTTGGGCATGGATGGTGATTTTAACCCCTCTGCTGGTTGGTTAACTCGTTTTAAGCAGCGGCACAGCATTAGAGAGATTAACATTAGAAATGAAAGATTAAATGGAGATGAGACTGCTGTGGAAGATTTTTGTAACAACTTCCGAGACTTTATTGAACGAGAGAACTTACAGCCTGAACAAATCTACAATGCTGATGAAACTGGACTCTTTTGGAAATGCCTACCTTCCAGGACTTCTGTGATCAAAGGTAAATGCACTGTCTCAGGGCACAAGTCAATTGAAGAAAGAGTCACTATCATGTGTTGTGCCAATGCAACAGGTTTACATAAACTGAAACTTTGTGTTGTGGGGAAAGCAAAGAAACCTCGCTCTTTCAAGTCAACTGACACCTCAAACCTGCCAGTCTCTTATTTCAGCCAAAAAGGTGCATGGATGGATCTTTCCATTTTCCGACAGTGGTTTGATAAGATCTTTGTGCCACAAGTTCGAGAGTACTTAAGATCTAAAGGCCTACAGGAAAAGGCTGTGCTCTTGTTGGATAATTCACCAACACATCCAAATGAAAATGTCCTAAGGTCAGACGATGGCCAAATATTTGCTAAGTATTTACCACCTAATGTGGCTTCATTGATCCAGCCCTCAGATCAGGGAGTCATAGCGACAATGAAGAGAAATTATCGTGCAGGTCTTCTTCAGAACAACTTGGAAGAAGGTAATGACCTGAAATCGTTCTGGAAGAAGCTAACTCTGCTAGATGCACTTTATGAAATAGCAATGGCATGGAATTTAGTAAAGCCAGTTACCATTAGCAGAGCATGGAAGAAGATTCTTCCTACCATAGAGGAGAAAGAAGGCTTGGACTTTGATGAAGAAGATGTTTCTGTGGCTACCGTGGCCACCATTTTACAACATACCAAAGGATTGGAAAATGTGACTACTGAGAACATTGAAAAATGGCTTGAAGTAGACAGTACTGAACCAGGCTATGAAGTGTTAACTGACAGCGAAATCATCAGAAGAGCACAAGGCCAGACAGATGAATCTAGTGAAAATGAGGAGGAGGAAATAGAACTGATTCCAGAGAAGCATATTAATCATGCAGCTGCTCTCCAATGGACTGAAAACTTATTGGATTATCTAGAACAGCAAGGTGATATGATTCTGCCCGATAAACTGGTGATACGTAAACTTCGAGCCACCATCAGAAATAAACAGAAGATGACAAATTCAAGTCAATAATGGCATTTCATTGTTACCATTGTTTTGGTAATTGTGTTTGTAACTCAGTCTCTGCAGTATGGCTTACTTTTCTTTGTGTTCTCAATTCTCAGACACAGTCCTATGAAATAGAGATACAAAAATGTATCTGAAGTGGCTCGAGGATTATGTGTTTTGCATCCTGTGTCTCTTCCTTTATTTGTACAGATAACTGGAAGCTGATTCTGTATAGATACAAATTACCTATACACATGTAGACCTGCAATTATCCCTTCTATTACAGTGGCATTTCCTAAAACTTCTAACAAAAATTATAGACAACGGAACAGATTGAGCACTTTCCTGAAATCTATAGTTCGGTTTATGAGGGCTGCCACAGTAATCTTACTTTGTGGTGACATCTTAAATGGTTATGTTTTGTGTATCTGTATACACTGACAGAATGAGAAATACCTATATTTTAGATTTCGGGGTGATCTGTAATAATTTAAAGTGAAGTCCAATATGAGGAATCTGATCTATGAATTATAAAAATAACTTAGACATCATACTTTTATTCTCTTGCGTTTGTTTAGGTAGCAAGAGGGGGAGAGTTTTCTTGAATGAAGTAAATATAGGAATTGATTACTAAATTAGAAAACTACTTGAAAGTTGATATATAAAAGAGATATTCTGATCTATTTGTAGAAAACTGTGAATTAAAAATTTGGGGAACTTTAGGTTATTTATGAAAAGGGAATAAATAGGCTTGTTTTAATTGGGTCTTATGAATTGGGTAATTATTTATTCATGTAATTATAGTACAGATTTTGTAATGTTACATGTGGTGGTATGAACTCCCACCTTATATGTGGGGGAGAATCTTGGGAATTTATGTTTTTTTTTACTGTGTACTTGGAAATGTCTGTAGTTTGAAAAAGTTTATCATGCCTTTCCTTTTTATTTGATATGAAAAGAAAAAGAAATGAAAGAATAAATTTTGTTATTATTTTTAACAAGCCATAGGTTGAGACCTGTTTTATGAAGAAAGCAGAAATAATTACGGAAAGTAATTTTAAGGAATTTCACGACTTACTCTTTTGACAGTTGTAAAAAGGTATTTATTCCAGAATCCATTAGCAAAATTAAGTCAGAATTTTGCTAAATTTGCTTAGTAAATTTAATGTTTACTCAACACATTGAAAAGACTTTACACGTATGAATATTGGTTTAATTTGTAATTTAAAAGCAATGTGAGTCACCATATTATTTCATGCTTTGGCCCGTAAAAAATAAAATGTCCTCTCTGTTATTTTTTTAAAGGTTTAACTTTTTTATTAAAATATTTTGCATTTTATAGTGCCTTTCTTAGAATTCTAAGACTTCAAAGAGATTTAGCTTTCCCTAATTTCTGTTATCTTCATGATATATGTCCAGATTTTTTAAAAAAGACTTCTGTGATTAGAACTGTTTAAAAATTATTGCATGAATTGCCTCAGTGCACAGAGGAAAAAAAGCATCAGAAGTTAACATACATCTTGAATTAGATAATTATACATTCTGCTATAAATTAAATTGTATATAAAAGAATTTTTCATTTTTCTAACATGAAAATATGTATAAAAGCTTCTTGGAATTTCTGTCTGGGTTTGTTCAATTTTTAAAATTAATCTTGTCAGTGAAATTCAGCTGTATCATTGCCACCTAGTGGTAAAATTAACATTACTGTTAAGCTGTGTGGTTCTAAATTTTAATATCTAGTAAAAGGTTCACTGTTTTGTGGCCTTGAGTGTGAATCTTGTGACTCTTTCTCAAGCCTGTGAGAGACTGCTATTGTTTTTTAGATTTATACCTATTTGCTCTTTTCCAAAAGCTGGCAACATGGGTAGGCTACAGTTTGTTTTAGACCCTTTTATCCTTAAACATAAGTATAAAATCTCCCCATTACTGAATATCATGTTCTAAACAATGTACTTGTATAACCCTCAAATTATGGTGGAAATACTGTTGCTCAGCTCATACTCTTAATTGCTGAAAATCACTTGGCTACAGGTAAGAATTTAAACCCAGGTATTTGATGACAAAGCCTCCACTTGTACTGTCCAACCTAGGCTAACCTCTTACCCTTTCCAGTCTTTAAATTTTATTTCTTGCCACCAACCTCCCTCCAGACCTGTAATGGATGTCTGAATTTACTTCTCTATTTTCCAGTGCACTTGTGGCAGCAACTGACCTTTCCTTTACTCTTTCATGAGGTTAGTCTTCCTCTTTCACTACTCTGTAACTTTATTTCTGTTTATCTCCAACCTAATAGCATTTGAACTTGGATCATCTGTCTTTTGATTTCAGGTTAGCCATGCTCACTAAGGAGTCTTTCTCACTTAATTTAAAACCCACCATTGGGAAAATAAACAGCTCTTGCAAACATTTCTCTTTAGTTCATGAGACAATCTCAAAGAAATTCGAGGTGTGGGCACAGTATTATACCAACATAGAAATCTTACTGGACCAGAGATACTGGAAACTGCTACTATCAAAACCACATGAGTATGTATGCACTCAGAGCCATACAGATCAAAGGGGGAGACATGAGATGATATGGGGAAATAAGGAAGGATAGGTTGAAATACAAGAGGAGTTGGTTAGAGAAGGGAAAAAAGGAAATGTGGGCTAAAGTGAGGTGTATTTTGTAATGATGTGTATTGCAGCATCATAGTCCCAGGCTTAGTAGTGTGTGCAGCTCATTCATAGATGGTCCCTGAAATCTCTGCTTTTCTTTTTTTATAGAATGTTAAAAAGTCAGTGCCAAGTTAAATGCATGTGATCAGTAGTTGGGAATGGTTAGTGGATGATGACAGAAGCTATTTGGGTACTTCCTGTATGTGCTCCAAAGTCATCAATACTTAGTTCCCAATTCCTCTTCCCTTAATGTACTGTGTGTTTAGCTTTCTCATTCTCCACTAAGAAATTAGCCACAGACTTAGTTTTCTTACTGGTCTTGCCAGGTTTTCCCCTTGATGAGTCTTGATACAACAACAGTTCTCAGAAAACCAACCTGTACATTAAAGTGTTTCTTTAAACCCGTACTCCTAGTAGCCAAGAATTCTGTGGGAGTAGCTTTACCTGTAGGTATTGATAAAGTAAATTAGGAACTTGCTTTTTATGAGAGATTTGGACTTTTGGTGGGTGGTTGGTGAGTGAAGTAGAATTCTTTGCCAGGTTTAAATTTAGTGAATCAAAAATTGGTAGAGTCTTAGTATGTGTGTAAGACTACTGGGGGTGGTGGGTTTAGGAAAATATAAGAGGATGAATGGTTCTTGTCCTTAAAGATCTTGAAATTAATGTGGGAAAATGGTATTTGAGAAACAAAACAATACAAACCTATGTGTTTCGATTGTAATCTCATATAAAACAGCCAACATGATGTGATAGGGACTGTTGAAGGAGACCATCATGATTTATTTTACTTACTCATTTCTTCACTGGCTTGTTCTTTGTATACCCTCTACATTTTAAGCTTTTCTTTGTTCTTGTTTTTTTTTACTGATTCTGAGTGACTTTATCCATTTCCTTTTCCTGCATGCTTATGACCCCAAATCTACCTCCAGTCACTGTTTTCAGAAGTCCAGATCTGTATCTTCAGTTGAGAAGCAGGATTTAAGTTTGGAAGGGAAATTAAAATTGTTGCTTTGCTTCCCCACTGTAGTAAACTCTATTAGCATTCTAATGTCAGAGCTACCTAGGTGGGCTAAGGAGCTAAAATAATTTTTTTATCGAATGCTAAACAAAGCTCATCTTCCTTGGTCTGAAATAGCAAAATAGGTCATTATTTTCTTATCTCTGTCCTCTTAGTTAGCCTTTCCTGATATACACACATGCCTTTGCTTCTGACCATTTGGTCCCACAGGCAGCCATAGTAGTTTCTGTTTCTGGTATCCTGGTTGCTAGTCAAGTATCAAAATTAGTTTATCATGTTCCAACCCCTCACCTCCTTAAAAGACCATCATTTGTACTCTTTACACCAACTTTATTCCTTAGAAATGTACTCTGTCTTCCCCATTTTAGGCAGCTGGCAACTTCACACAGTAACTAGTCTCATGCAATTAGAAGTTGGGTGTGAAAGAATGCCCAAGGGTGAGCAGTCACTGGGGACACCTAATGTGAGAACTTGTATCTGTAAGGCCTTAGAGTCCATGAGACTTGTAGTATATTGTGAAATGTTTTTTGTGATTTGTGTCTGTTAATACTATAAGATCAAGGATCAATGCTTTGCAGAGTAGTAGACATTCAGCAAACGTGTACTCAGCAAACCCTAAATGTGTACTTTCTGTGCATAAGATGTGTCCTAGGCAATGTATGGGATACATGGATAAGACTATCCACTTCAAGAGATTTACAATAGAGAGAAAGATGCAGAAAAAGGAGTGAATTAAGTGTTACAATGCTGATGGAATGCAAAGGCAGGACTCATCAATTCTGATGTGACATAAAGAAGCACAATCTGATAGGAGGAGTGGAGTCATAACAATTGAGTTGGTCTTGAAAAATAACTGAAATTTGCATTTCCCTTTTGTCTTCAGCCTGTGCCAAATGTGCTCCTGCCACATCATCCCCACTTGAGAACACTGCTATAGAGCTACAAGATTATAGGTATTTGGTCTGCTGTTCAAATTATTGAAGGTAATATTTACAGAATATTTTTTACCACTATTCCAAATTACCCAGCCTCTGGTGGTTATTTTTCTGATGCCTGCTTCCTGATCACAAATGTAATGCCACATACTTGAGATTTTTATCACAGCAGCACCCCACTTCAAGGTACCCATTCCACTATTGATCAGGGTAACTCTAGCTGATGAAACAAACCTCAGAATTTTAGAGACTTATAATAAATCTTTTTCAGCAGTTTTATGATGATAAAGGACTTGGTTGGAGTATAACTTTAAATAGTGATTCACAGATTTAGGCTCCTTCCATCTTGTGATTTTGCATTTGCTAGACTCTTGCAATCTCCTGAATCTAGTCAACAGATGGGAAAAGAG